ACTTGTTATTTCTTTTTTTTTTTTTTTAAAGATTTTATTTATTTATTTGACAGAGAGAGATCACAAGTAGGCAGAGAGGCAGGCAGAGAGAGAGGGGGAAGCAGGCTCCCTGCTGAGCAGAGAGCCCGATGCGGGGCTCGATCCCAGGACCCTGAGATCATGACCTGAGCTGAAGGCAGAGGCTTTAACCCACTGAGCCACCCAGATGCCCCAACACTTGTTATTTCTTGTCTTTTTTGATACTAGCTATTCTAACTGGTATGAGGTGATATTGCATTGTGGTTTTGACTTGCATTTCTCTGATGATTAGTGATACTGAGCACCTTTTCATGTGTCTGTTGACCATCAGTATGTCTTCTTTGGGAAAATGTCTTTAGGTTTTCTGGGCAGATACAACTTTAGAACTAATACATCTTCAGGCGAATTGAACTTTTTATCATTGTGAAGTGTCCTTTATATGCCTGGCATTGTTTTTTGCTTTAAGTCTACTTTGGTTTTTGTTTTTTTTTAAGTGTCATCAGTTTGCTTTTGTTAAGTTTTTGTGTGGTATTTGTATTCTTTTCTTTGCTGTGTCCTTGTGGTGTAGTGTGTTATTTTTAAAGGCATTTTTCCTTTAATTGGAGAATTTAGTCTATTACGTACAGTATAATTGTAGATATATTTGGGTTCAAATCTCTTGTCTCAGAGGTTGTCAGATTTTTTGTGTAAAAGTCCAGAAAGTAAATATTTTAGGTTTTGTGTACCATCTGATCTCTGTTGCAGCTATCATCTTTGCTGTTTTAGTACAAAAATAGCCATAACTAATATGTAAATAAATGAACTTGGCTGTGCTCTAATAAAAACTTTATTTATAAGAAAAAAATGGGCCATATGTGGCCAATGGTGCTGTAGGTTGCCAAACTATATGCTATTTTAAATTTGTTATTTTTTATCCTACTTACACTGAATTTTTTTCCTCTTCTTTCTTGCTTTTTGGACTTTAAAAAAAATTCTTCTATTAGCTTAGAAGTAATAGCTTCTTCTACTTTTCTTTTAATGGTTATCATAGGTTTACAACAAAATTGAGAGGAAGATGTGGAGATTTCCCATTTGCCCCCTGCCCTTACAGATGCATAGCTTCCCCCATTATCAATATCCTCCACTAGAATGGTATATCTAAAACATTTGTTTTAATTTCTTAATTTTTAAAATTTTTATTTAAAAAATTTTAATTGACATACAAAATTTAGTTGACATACAAATTATATTAGTTTCAGGCATATAATGTACTGAATTGATAATTGTGTACATTAGGAAAAGCTCACCACAATAAGTGTGGTTACATTCTGTCACCATACGAATTTATTCCAATATTGTTGGCCCTGTTCCCAATGCTATACTTTTCGTACCCATAACTTACTTATTTTATAACTGGAAGTTTGTATCTCTTAGTCATCTTCGCCTATTTGTCTGTATCCCCACCCCCCTGGAATATGGTATATTTTTTACCAGGTGTGAACCTACATTGACACATTATAATCACCCAAAGTCCATTGTTTTGCCTTGGGGGTTCACCCGTACATTATATGGGTTGGACAAATGATAATGACATGTATCCATCATTACAGTATTATGTAAAGTATTTTCACTGTCTTAGGAATTCTTTATGCTCTTTTTCACTGATTGCCTTTTCCAGTTGTCATATAGTTGAAATCGTACAGTATCTAGTAAGACTTTTCAGATTGGCTTCTTTCATTTAGTAGTATTCATTTAAGGTGACTTAATGTCTTTTCATGCCTTGGTGGCTCATTTCTTTTTAGTACTGAATAATACTCCGTTGTCTGGAAGATATCTTGGTTACTTCCAAGTTTTGGCAGTAATGAATAAAGGTCCTATAAGCATCTGTGTGCGGGTTTTTTTGTGGACATGTTTCCAACTTCTTTGGGTAGATAACAAGGAACTCCATTGCTGAATTATATGGTCAGAGTATGTTTAGTTTTGTAAGTAACTGCCAAACTGTGCCAAAGCAGCTGTATCATTTTGCATTTCTGCCAGCAATGTCTGAGAATTCCTTTGCTCCACAGCCTTGCTAGTATGTGGTTTTCTTAGTTGTTCAGACTTTGGTCCTTGTAATAGGTATATAGTTGTATCTTGTTTTAATTTAGATTTCCTTGATGACATATGATGTGTAGCTTCTTTTTATATGCTTATTTGATACCTTTATATCTTTTTTGGTGAGATGTCTGTTAAGGTTGTTGGCCCATTTTTAAATCTCATTGTTGTCTTATTGTTGAGTTCTAAGAGTTCTTTATATATTTGAGATATGTCTTTCTTCAAATGTGTCTTTTGTAAATGGTTTCTTCCAGTCTATGACTTCTCATTTTCTCGACATTGTGTTTCACAGAGCAGAAATTTTTAATTTTAATGAAGTCCAACTTACTGATTTCTGTCATAGGTCTTTGTTGTTTATTTGGAAAGACATCACTATATCCAGGATCTTCTGGGTTTTCTCTTATGTTATTATTTTCTAGAAGTTGCAGTTTTGCATTTCACTGGATTTTATTTATTTAAGAATTTTATTTAGTTGAGAGAGAGCGAGCGAGAGCATGAGCATGGGGGAGAGGCAGAAGGAGAGGGAGAGGCAGACTGCCTTGCTGAGCAGAGAACCTGGTGTGGGACTCAATCCCAAGACTCTGGGATCATGACCTAGGCTGAAGGCAGATGCTTAACTGAGTGAGACACCCAGGTGCTCACTGAAAAATTTTTTTTTAATTCAAGATCATTCCAGTATCTATTGTTGAGATGTTAGGTATCAGTAATTATTGCTTCTTTAAAGGTAATATTTGGTGGTGGGAAGGGTTTAGCTGCTTTTAAGATTTTCTTTTAGCCTTTCATTTTCAGCACTTTTCACCTAGGTGTTGTAAACATGTCACCTAGGTAGACATAGTTTTACTATGTGATGAGGTATAGATTTCTTTTTATTTATACTCTTAGGGTTTGTTGGGCTACTTGGATCTGTGGTTTGCTCTCTTTTGTCAGTTTTGGAAAATTGTCCATCATTATTTCTGGAAATAATTCTTCTGACCTCCCCCCGCCCCTTTATACATTAGGTTTTTTTACTTTGTCCTTTTTCTGTTTTCCATTCTTCAATTTCTCTTCTCTATTTTCCATTCTTTTCTCTCTCTGAGCTTTATACCAGGATAGAGTCTTCTCACTTCTCTTCTGGTTTACTGGTTCTCACTGTAGTGTATTGAATCTGCTATTTAACCTCATGGGTTGAGATATTTAATTTTTGATACTGTATTTTTCAGATAAAGAGTTTGTATTTTTTTCAAATTTGCTATGATTTCCTTCACTTTTTTTTTTTTTTAAGATTTTATTTATTCATTTGACAGAGAGAGATCACAAGTAGGCAGAGAGGCAGGCAGAGAGAGGAGGAAGCAGGCTCCCCACCGAGCAGAGAGCCGGATGCGGGGCTCGATCCCAGGACCTGGGATCACGACCCGAGCCGAAGGCAGAGGCCTTAACCCACTGAGCCACCCAGGTGCCCCTTTCCTTCACTTTTTAAAAATGATTTCCGGGGTGCCTGGGTGGCTCCGTGGGTTAAAGCCTCTGCCTTCGGCTCAGGTCATGATCTCAGGGTCCTGGGATCGAGCCCCGCATCGGGCTCTCTGCTCGGTGGGGAGCCTGATTCCTCCTCTCTCTCTGCCTGCCTCTCTGCCTACTTGTAGTCTCTGTCTGTCAAATAAATAAATAAAATCTTAAAAAAAATTAAAAATGATTTCCATTTCTCTACTGAAATTCTTGATTGATTGATTGATTTACACTCTACACCCAGTATAGGGCTTGAACTCAGGACCTTGAGATCAAGAGTCACATGCTCTAGTGACTGAGCCAGGTAGGTGCCCCGCAAATTCTTGCTTTAATGTACTATCTCATTGAAGATAATATATGAACTCATAAAATCTAAGCTTTATAATCTCAGCATTTGGAACATTGCTAATTTGTTCTTCCTGGTTTTTGTTCCTTTGTCTTATTGGCTTATGTGCCTGATGCTTTATGAATGTGTGTAAGACATCCATACCAGGATCCAGTATCAGGGTTTGAAAAAATACAGTTGGTAGTCCTTTGAAAGCTTGCCTACTTAGATTTATCCTTACTCATTGAGTGTCAGCTTAACGTTATGGGATTTCCCATGCTTCCCATCTCTGGTAAGTCTCAATCTAGTTTTGTCTCCCTTACCCTGTGAGGCTTTGAAAAACTCTGCTCCTCTTCTTAGTCTCAGTTTCTGCTTCTAGATGCCCCCCAGGGAAAAGCTGACCAATGTATCTGACTTATTTCTTTGGATATCCTTCTCTTAGATCTTGGCTTACTCATTGTTAATTGCCTCCTGAGCTCTCTGATGCCTTTTAGTTAGACCCTTTCTCCATGATTTTCTGGTTTTCCTCATCAGGAGGTTTTTGTATCAGTTTACTGGTGCTGGAGAGTGAATCACTTTTTGTTGCTGTTAAACTTACCCATTGAGATAATGTTTTTTTCTGTACTAACTTTTTTTAGATGATCAAAGTACCACCCTTGTGTGATACATTATGTTAAAAAAGACATACAGAAGTTTAAAGGAGCGAAAAAACTCACAGTCCCATCAGTGAGAGAGTTACTTTTAACAGTTCCTTTTTGCAAGAGAGCTGGGTTTTGTGGGCGTGGGGTTGGGGAAGAGTTTGAAATAAGTTTGGTTTGGATATTTTTAGTTTGAGGGGACTAAGATACCTAAGTATCATGACCACATACCTACTTTTTTTTTTTTTTTTCCTTTTTAAATAAGCTCTATACCCAACCTGGGGCTTGAACTTATGACCCCAAGATGAAGAGTCGAATGATCTACTGACTGAGTCAACCAGGCACCCCAGTACACTTATTTTTAATATATAATTTGAGTATTTTTGTTTCAACAGTTTTAATTATATTTGATAATTTTTCTATGTGTTTGAGAGCTCTTATCCTATGGAAATTTGATTTAACAGAGCTACAATAGAAGAAGCATACTCCAGGTCAATGACGAAACTAGCAAAATCTGCAAGCAATTATTCACAACTTGGGTGAGTTAGTTTCTTTGAAAAACTCTTTTTCAATGTTGATTTAGGCACAGTTCTTAGAATATCTAAGTTCTTGTTGAAGACATAATGGTTCATAAATATAACAACATATAATATACTTATTTGGTTGTGGTTCTATTATAGGAAATTCTACCTTATTTTTAGTTATCAGATGGGAGGTAGAAAAAACATGGATTGACTTCACCTGTGTTTCCTGATAATAAAGATGTTGACAACGTTTCTGTTTTTGGAATGTGTGGTTCTCATAAATAATGGATGTATTTTACGAGTTCGTGTCATTGCTTAAGATTATAAAGATTTTATTTATTTATTTATTTTTTAAAAGATTTTATTTATTTATTTGTCAGAGAGAGAGAGAGAGGGAGAGAGAGCAAGCACTGGCACACAGAATGGCAGGCAGAGGCAGAGGGAGAAGCAGGCTCCCTGATGAGCAAGGAGCCCGATGTGGGACTCGATCCCAGGACGCTGGGATCATGACCTGAGCCGAAGGCAGCCGCTCAACCAACTGAGCCACCCAGGCGTCCCAAGATTATAAAGATTTTAAATATTAACATCTTACTGATGGATATTTAGCCAAGAAATTGAGTTTCCTCTTTGTATTTTTTGCATTTAAACATAACTTAGACTGGTCAGTTTTCTTTTTTTCTGCTTATTATACATTAATGTGTATTACATGACCCCAAAAATGTTCTGTATATCAGACTTTTAAAAATGTAATGATATTTGACATTCCTTAAAGAAACCTCTACTTAGAGAAGTCTTACGTTGAACCCCTTTACAATATAAAGAATCCTTGGGTAAGGGGACACTCCTCATCTTCCTGCTTTGTGAAATTCACACTTGTCATGTATCAGGTTTACATGGAAGTGATGTACATGTATTTTGGTGCTGTCATGAGTGGATACTTTCCAGTTATCTATTTTTACTCTCAATATTTTTCATTTAACTCCTTGCCAGATTTGATGCTGATTTAGCTTTTATTTTTTTTTATTTTTAATTTTTTTTAGATTTTATTTATTTATTTGACAGAGATCACAAGCAGGCAGAGAGGCAGGCAGAGAGACAGGAGGAAGCAGGCTCCTTGCTGAGCAGAGAGCCCGATGCGGGACTCGATCCCAGGACTCCGAGATCATGACCTGAGCCGAAGGCAGCGGCTTAACCCACTGAGCCACCCAGGCGCCCCTGATTTAACTTTTAAAGTGTGGGGTGAGATCTAATCAGAACAGCCCTATTCTAAGAATCTTAACTTTCCTTTTTGAACTTCTTTACTATTGCTTAAAATGATTACTGTGAGTTAGCATTCTCGTTGGATAGGAAATGTAGTAATTGGGACAGAGTACATATTAGGATAAGTAATTTCTTTCTCTGTCCTTTTGCCTTGTGCTTCTGTTTGTTTTCAAGTAGAGGTCTGGTCATGGTGCAAAACAGATGATGTTGAAAATATGTTAGGTAGTACCTGAGGAAAACATAGATAAAATTATCCTTAGATCATTCCTTATTGGCCAGATTGGTTTAAGCTAAGTGCTGACATCCTAAGTACTATCCAAGATAAAATAATGTAATTCTTGGATATACTTGAACCTGCAGAAAACACTAAATTCTCAGTTTTGTGAAAAAGTGGTAGGAAAGTATGTCATGTTTCATGTACCATGTAGTGGAAAGGGGACTGTCTTGGTGTTAAAGTACATAGATAAAATGATCTGAAACAAGATTTCAAGTGACAGCATTAAAATAATTCTCAAATGATTATTAATGATGAAGATTCTTATAAAATCCTGTGGTGTGCATTTGAGTTTGCATGTTTGAATTCAGAGGAACTTTTTTTTTTTTAATATTTTATTTATTTATTTGACAGACAGAGATCACAAGCAGGCAGAGAGGCAGGCAGAGAGAGAGAGAGGAGGAAGCAGGCTTCCCGCCGAGCAGAGAGCCCGATGCGGGGCTCGATCCCAGGACCCTGGGATCATGACTTGAGCCGAAGGCAGAGGCTTTAACCCACTGAGCCACCCAGGCGCCCCGGAACTTTTATTTTTTGATGAAGCATTTTAAATGAGCACCAAATAGCCAAAAATTGAAATTTGGTAAAAGCTGATTTTTAACAATAGTGATTAGAAAGGCTTCTGATACAAGTCAAAAAAACCCAAATCAACTCAGAAAATAGTATGATACAATTGAGAGGGCCATGGCCAGACCTGTGATAAATATTTAACTGATTCCTGTGTACTTAAGGTCCAAATATTTTAATTAACCAAGGATTAAAAAAATCACTGTCAGTCTGTCAGTCATTTCATTTGTGCTTTATTTTAATTTCCTATTTTGTCTAATTAAAATTGAATATAATACTTTTTCTGTTGGTTCTGTTTTGGAGCCTTAAACTTTTCTTTTATTAAATAATTTCCATATTTTCTTTCCCTTAGAACATTTGCACCAGTGTGGGATGTGTTCAAAACATCTACGGAGAAATTAGCAAACTGTCACTTGGATCTTGTTAGAAAATTACAAGAACTAATAAAGGAAGTTCAGAAGTATGGAGAAGAACAAGTAAAATCTCATAAAAAGGTATCAGTTTTTTCCTGCTAAAGGAATGATAGATGAAATATTGAGTGCTTTACAGTTCAGTTATTTTGATGAATCATTTCATACCACGCAGACTAAAGAAGAAGTTGCAGGAACTCTGGAAGCTGTTCAAACCATTCAAAGCATAACTCAGGCCCTCCAGAAATCCAAGGAAAATTACAATGCCAAGTGTGTAGAACAGGAACGTTTGAAAAAGGAAGGAGCTACACAAAGAGAAATAGAAAAGGTAATTGTAATAAAAATAATCTCTGTGGTTTCAAAGCCCTTTTAAACAAATGACTGCTTTTAATCCTCAGACACTCAAGAATGATCTCAATATTAAAGATGAAGACACTGTACTGTGCCTCCGAGTGTTCATGATTTACCTAAGTGAAACAGAGCTAGGTTTGTAGAATATGTTGTGTTGTGTATGAAAAATACATTAACAGATACATAAAAAGAAATAATTTATTTTTGCTGTTGACATTTGTTGGCTATTTTTATAATAAGGTACTTGATAAGATACTGCTTGGTGTGGGATTTAACGTAAGGTAAAATTTTTTTTTAGTCAAGATTGGTATATTTAGAAAGGCATAGATACTTGAAGATAAACTTTAAAATATGTGTTGTGGGTGATTTATTGCTGACTTTGAAGACATTTATGTAGTATTGCGGTAAACCACAATCCTTTCCCCCACTCGGCGTTTTAAGTGAAAGTAGATTTTTTCCCCCTTTCAGAACAGTCTAAACTAACCATTCACTTGTTTGATGTGTTATATCTCATTTAGGAATGAGCCATAGGGAGTGATAATTTTGAAAGCTTTTCTAAAGTATATGAAATATCCATTAAAAAAAAAACAAGTTGTAACTGTATTTTAGCAATTCCAGTAATTATAGAAGTGTATATATATGGACAGAAACTAGAAGAGAATATGGAAAAAATCAAAACAGTTGATGGATTTTGGCATAACTGATTTCCTTTAATGTTTGTGCAATAAACAAAAGTTGGGAGAGAGAAAAAAATAAGGCACAATATGTTTACTATTTTAAAACACCATTCCACACAGCATTTGTAAATAAAATATAAGAAGGGAAAACAGAACAAAATTATAGGACTTAAAAAAGTAGAATATTATCTCTATGAACTAGAAACAGAATGGAAACTCAAAGTGGTGTGTAGAGATTGGTTTTGCTAGTTTTGCTGGACTCAAAGTCCTAAGTTAGGCTGTGGAATTTAAGCTCTTGTTTCTTAAAAGGGACTGAGTGTTACCCATCTGAGATAAAGCACAAGGAGTCCCACTGTCTATGTGAAGCAATATAGGTAGAAAAAAAGAAAACTCTTAGGCTGCTGACTAGGGCTAAAGCTTTATCAGAAGGTAGGGGCTAATGGACACAATTCTGACCCAAATCAAACTAAGGAACATTTCATCACTTTTTTGGCCATATCCCCCATATTCTTCCAGGGAAGTAATTAAAAACTACCTTTATAAGATTGATACTAAATTGGGGACTTTGAGGGGTGTCACAAAATGCCATGAAAACTATTAGGTGTGGTGAGCACAAAGGATAAGACATAACACAGTTCTAGGTGGTGACATTTACATTGCATTCTGTGGATCTGTCCCACAGCACTGTTGGAGTGAGAGAGAAGAGGAGAAGGGGACAAAACAAGAAACCTCCTATTTTGAAATGAGTCAACAACCAAAATTCTAGAGTACACCCAAGAAATCTAGTGCTAAGACAACAATAAATTTACCAATTGGAAGAAGAATTCACTCAAGATAAAATTTAAATTTATAAAACAGATGAACAAAAGAGGTTGTGTTCAATATGTTCAAAGAGATAAATGAATATAAACTAGTAAATAAAATTAAGGCATAATGGAATAAGGTCTACTTGATAGGAAGACAGCTAATTAGAAAACTTGGAAATGAAAAATATGGTTATTGAGGAAAAGAAATAGAAAATACAAACTTGGGACACTTGGGTGGCTCAGTTGGTTAAGGGTCTGCCTTTGCATGATCTTAGGGTCCTAGGTTTGAGTCCTGCATCAGGTTCCCTGCTCAGTGGGGAGTCTGCTTCTCCCTTTGTGCATGCTCGCTTGCTCTCTCAAACTTTAGACTTGATGTAGTCAAAGACTGAATTTGGAAGATGGTACTGAGGGAACCACCCAGAACATTAGTACAAAGAAATAAAGATTACTGGGGCACCTGGGTGACTCAGTCAGTTAAACCTCTGTCTTCTGTTCAGGTGATAGTCTCAGGGTTTTAGGATTGAGCCCCAGGTTGGGCTCTGTGCTTAGGAGGGAGTCTGTTTCTCCCTCTCCCTTTGCTTCTCCCCTACTCATGTGCATTCTTGCACTTTCTCTTTCTCAAATAAATAAAATCATAAAAAAACAAAAAGAAAGGTTACCAACATTCATCTGATGTGAATTCCAGAAGAAAATGGAAAGAATGGTTGTCTAGTAATATTTAAAGAATTCATAGCTCAGGATTTTTCATACCTGAGGAAATTCAGTAGTCCACAGATGAATACAACACTGTATGTTAACTGGAATTAATATAAAAACTTAAGAAAATAAAAAAAAACTTAAGAAAATATATATGTATATATAAATATTTAAAAAAAAAAAAGAGTTCCCAGATTGAAAGTACATTCTTGGTATTAAGTAGGTTACATAACGGTAAACTCAGACCTAGACTCCAGAGAAAAAGAGAATATTAAAAGCTACCAGGTGTTTCTGGTTTTCTCACTTCTTTGCAATCAGAATGCATTTTCTGCTGATGATATCATTATTATCACTGTTGATAAGGTGACATATATATGTGTGTTTTTTTTTAAGATTTTTTTTTTTTTTTTTATTTGACAGATCATAAGTAGGCAGAGAGGCAGGCAGAGAGAGAGAGGAGGAGGAGGCAGGCTCCTTGCTGAGCAGAGAGCCCGATTCGGGACTTGATCCCAGGACCCTGGGATCATGACCTAAGCCGAAGGCAGAGGCTTTAACCACTGAGCCACCCAGCGCCCCTATATGTGTATTTTTATTGCCTGTGTGAACTTGGTTATTCTGTGTGGTAGCATGATTGGACAACTGCAGCACTTTGATGTTTTAGTTAACAGACCATCTTAAGACAATTTGAGGAAGGAATTGTTCTGGTTTTTGTCTGAAAACTTTTTGTTGAGACCTTCTGGTAAGATCAAGAAAATGTGAGCTCTGGTGTTTAGAAGAAAATTGGGAGATAATGAGCATTTTTAAGAGGTACTGCATCAGTCATGGTCTTGATGACATTGAAGATAATACTGTGTGGGGAAAAAACACCTCAGCAATCTCTCAATTAGAAAGTAATTGAGAAGGTTCACATCTGAATATGTGGAAGATGTAAGAGTATGTCAAATAATTCATTTTGCTTTCCTTTTTATTCTGTATCAGTATACTTCTAAGTAAGTCTAAAAGAGCTCTTCTAGAAGTATAAAATTAGAATTTTAAGTGATAAGAAAGCATTATTTTATATTTTAGATGATAACATTTTTCTGTTTTAATGGTACACAAGATAATGGTGTACTTTATAAATTAATGGTATATCAGAGTTAGTAATAATCAAGTAGGTACATTAAGCCTAACTTCTAAAAGAATAAAAGTCTAATAAGTCTTTTAAATAAGGACAAAGAAGAGGATATTAAAATTTATTGATAAGGGGGCACCTGGGTGGCTCAGTGGGTTAAGCCTCTGCCTGAGGCTCAGGTTATGATCTCGGGGTCCTGGGATCGAGCCCCGTGTGGGGCTCTCTGCTCAGCAGGGAGCCTGCTTCCCCCTCCCTCTCTGCCTGCCTCTCTGCCTCTTTTAATCACTCTCTCTGTCAAATAAATAAAATCTTAAAAAAAATATTTATTGATAGGAAAGGAAGGAGGAAATAAAGAATGGTAGGCAAAAAGCTCAAAGTAAGCTGGAAGTAAGTTCAAATATACCAAAGCCTTAATGTGTATAAGTGAGTTAGACTCCTCTAATAAATAGGTTGATTGGCAAATTGGAAAAAAATTCTTATTATGTAAAACAACTTTAATGTTTAACAGCAGAAGACTGTTTCATATAATGGGACTATTCAGCAGTTCAAATAAATTTTATAGGGTAAAATGATAGATCTGGGATTTAAAATACTGTAGCAAAAAAATACTGGAAGGGGAAGAATGGATGGAATCTTGAAGTTATGTGATAGGTTAATGGAGTTTATTGCACTTCTTTCGTGTGCTCTAAAATGTTTATTATAAAAAAAAAAGGAATGCAGTAGAATGACATGAGTCATTGACCTGGGTGAATCTAAAAAGCATAATATTGAGCAAGAAAAGCAAAGTTCCAGAAGAATATGTAGATTTTGATGCCTTTCACATAATCTTTAATTCTCTGTATGAAAACCTTTTAAAGTATAATTAACTGTTCAAGGAACATGGATAGGGACAGTAAACACTGAGTTACATAATGGGAGTTTCCTTTGCAGAGCAAGTGGGAATGGGATTGGTAAGGACATGGGGCCTCCCTTTGTCTATTTAATAATTAATTTTTTTCCAAAAAATGAAAAAGATAGCAACAAATATAGATAAAGCCAACTATGTATTTCAAAATAAGAGATTATTTTTTAAAATGTGAGCTATAGAAATAGTTCCTATAGGTCAGTAACATACAGGTCAATAAATTCGTATGAATTCCATATCATTAATGCAGAAGTATGCTATTTGAAATTTTCCAAAGGGTTAAAAAGTAATCCTGGCTAAATAGTGCTCTTTATTTGTGTGTGTGTGTGTGTGTGTGTGTGTGTGTGTGTGTGTGTGTGTGTGTGAAACCCAGTGGCTTTAACTTAGTACCTAGTGGGTACTAAGTGTAGTGACCACTTGCAGAATATATGGTCCCTAGAAGTTAGGCTTAAAGAAATGATTGAATCTTTTTATATAAAGCAAAAAAGGTTTAATATAAGGTAATGATTTAGATTAAAGGATTTCCTTTTCATTAACATACTAGGCAGAGCTGTGGCATATGGTTGTGTCCAAGTGTTGTAAGTTGGTGGATTGTGCTTTTTGTAGTCATGTGGACAGCTTAGAGGGAGGGATGCTTTATTCTTTTTTTTTTTTCCCCAAGATTTAATAAATTTACGTTTCGGAGAGAGAGCATGAAGTGGGGAAGGGCAGATGAAGAGGAAGAGAAACTTAGCAGACTCCCAATATGGACCTGAATCTCATGACCCTGAGATCAGGACCCAG